GAGCCTCTCTTAAGTCTTCTTTAAGCCACTTCTCCTTCTCTTCTTCTCAAGTCAACCTCACCAACCCCGTCTCGCCCAAATCACGCCGCGAAAGGCACCACAGCGTATCCGAGCCCGTACACGAGCAAGCTGTCCACGGAGACGCCGCTGTCACCAACGCCAACGGTTGCACCTCTTCCCGCCAGCAGCATCCCGCATCCCCGAAACGATCACAGACCGACACCTCCGTTAACTCGCCAACGACAGCTGCGGAAATCAATGCCGGAACCCTGAACGTGACGCTCGAAGAGAAGGAGAAGCCCTCCGAGCCAGTGCTCGCTCCCACTCGGCCCCCCAACAACAGAAAGTCCCGGTCTTGGGGCAACCGTCTATCTGCTCTGTTTCCCTCGCTCATCATCCAACCCACAGACCAGCCTCAGACTCAATTACCGCCTGCCCAACCCCAGCTGCAGCAACACCAACAACACCAACTACCGATTCACCGCAAACCGCTCTCCGACGACTCTCCTCCCGCCTCGTCTCCCTCCGACAGCGCGCCCTCCTACCACACGGCTGAGCATCCCACCGTGAGACCTGTGACGAGCTCCGGCCTGGGTCTTGGAATTGCTCCTGCGGCATCTGAATCCCTCGACCCACCTCCTCCGGCTGCTCCCTCTGATGCACCGCCTCCTATTCCTAGAAAAATCGCCCCCGCACCTCTAGAAGCTTCAACAATATCATCCCCGGCTGCCGATCAGCCTTTGGTCTCTCCCCCGCAACCTCCTACGCCCACAACACCAAGTATGATGGCCGCCCCCTTGCCGCCTTCCGAGGCGCCTCCTCCAGTTCCCGGCAAGCTGCGAAAGGAGAAGAACTTGCCGACGCCTCCCGCAGGACCACACGCCAAGGAGACCCCTTCGCCCAGAGCTGTCTCCCACCCGGAGGCGACGTCTCCTGCGAAACTCAAGAAAGAAAGTGCCGAGCCTAGGAAGCGAAGCAGCTCCTTCCTCGAGAACCGAAAATCGGCATTTCCTACACTTGGCGTTCGTGCACCGTCGCCAGATGCACGGGGTAGAAGCACCTCTGCACACCCGCACGGAGCCAGAACCGACACTGGAAGCTCACACAACACCGGGTCCAACGAGAGCCACAGCCCGACCCGCGACGAGAGACGTGGCCGCTTGCGCAGATCTTGGCTGCCGGGTGGTGGAAGATCAAGGTCGAACTCGCATGACGTTTCTGCGGATGTGAAGAACTCACAGGCGTGGGTCCTGTCGCCGGACACGCCTGGAGAGTATAACACGTCATTTTTGCTCAATGCTGAAAAGGTAAGCTTTCTGCCACGTGCCGCACCACATCAGACGGAGAGACTGATTCACTCGCAGGTCCCAGAGTTGTGGAACGAAAACGGCAATGTATATGTTTACCTTCAACCTAGAAGCAGTAATGCTGGACCTTCCTTCAAGGTTCCGAGCTTCTCCATCATCAACTCGGTCATTTTCAACGAGCTCATTCAAGCTGAAATGTCATCGCCATCGGGACGGAGCCGGGGAAGGAGTTTTGGGGGCAGTCTCTCCGTTGACGATGCGCTTGTCAGGGCAACCCTTTCCGGCTCGCCCCCTGCGGAAGATCAAGACAGCCCTGGCGACGGCGAATTGAAGTTGTACCTGCCGGCGACGCCCCCACAATACACGCAACCCGGAAACGGTCTCGCCGCGCCGGGACCCCAACTCCGTGCCGATGTCGACCGAGCTATCGCAATTCGCAACCTCTTTGCGTTCTTGACCGGCCAGCCGCTGGTGGCCACCAAGGCGCACCCTACTACTTTTGCCGCATTCTTGCAGATCTCCAAGTTGCTGAAGGAGTATGGCTTCACCAACGCGGACGGATCGTCGTTCGGCGAGGCCGTCGACCTTAGCTTTGGCTTCTTCATGGAGCAACTTTCGCTTGCAGACGTTCGTCACAGCCGCGAAAAGACGCTGGAATCTTTGATCCTGGGTGAGAGCATGAAATCAATGGATTTGTACAACGAGGCATTTGCGCACGCGGTCGGCAAGTACACTGCAATTCTCGACTTGCACTCTCCTCTGTTCGAGCAGGTATCGCTGTACACCAGACAACGACTGGAGCGCGCGCATCTGGATCTCGTCAACCGCCAACACAACGTCAACAGCAGACTGGAGCGGTTTGAGTTCCCTTCACTGTTCGCAGGTATCGCCAGCTCCACGTCAGACCCCGGGCTCAGGGCTGTCCGCTTCAAGGTCTGGGAGAAATACTTCAACAAGATGAAGCAGTTCGTCATGGGCTACTACAAGACAAATTTTGGTTCCTGGCCCCCCAAGGCCAGCAGCAAGAAAAACCCGTTTTCGGAGAGCGGTCTCAACCGGTTGGTGTTGAAGGCGCTCTTTTCTGACATGACTGCACTGTACGACCTTTTGGTTGAGCGCGAAAACATCACCACCAGAGTGATGGATGGAAACGCCGATGAAGAGTCTGCCAAGTCCACAGATCCCCTCTCGATCATCAACCTGCGCAAGATGCTCACCGAATTCGACAACTCGACGCCTCCTGTATTACCGCCAATCCCATTCGATGTCCCCAAGTTGCCCTCAATGACGTCCATTCTCGCGACATACGATAACCTGTCAGCCAAGGAGCAGGCCAAATTTGACAGAAAAATCAAGGAGCACGAGTTGACGCTGGTTATTCAAAAGGCGTACAACTGGGATGCCAACAGCATTAATGTTCCCTTCCTCATGGAGTTCAAAGACTTTGAGCAGCATGAGGCAAAGGGAAAAAACGCGGCAGATCTCGCTGATCAGCGCATTGGCTACTGGCTCTTCCTTTACGTCGTTATCCAATCGCTGCCCATGCTCGTCGTTGACGCGCCCAACCTCAAGTTCAACGAGGGCGTCGAATACTTCCTCTGCGAGCCCCCCATGGGTAACCTCCCTTGGGTCGAGGATGCTCGCCAGGTACGCAAGATGTGGTACGAAGTCTCTGGCGGCAATGGGTATGTCGAGCTCTCGGCCGACAGCGTCCTGTTCAGTGTGGAGGCAGTCTACCACCGCAGCCACTGCTGGCTCGCGGCCAAGGAGTGGGAGGGGCTCTCTGGCGCAGACGCCCCGCCCCCACAAGACGCTGGCATGTCTCCTCTTGAACCGCCCCGGCCAGTTTTCCCTGGGCCGGACGGCATTGTCGGCACCCCTCCGGCTCTCGGCACGAGTGGAACCCCGCCCACGCCTGGATCTCCACAGTCCCATCTCCGGCCGCGTAATGCTTCGCCAGGCGGACGTCAGCTTGCTAGCCGCAACGCCGCGCATCGCTCCAGCATGATCTTTGGCCTCGAGCCCGTTCCGTTTGACGAGGGCCCGCCTGGCGATCGTACCTCGCGCGTCGGTAGCGCACGAAGTAGCTCGGCCGGCTCTCGTCCCCTGAGCATGGTCATGCCGCGCCCGCCATCTGGTGCAAACTTGCGCAACATGTCTGTTGACCACACCCACGATGCCGCTACATCAACCATGACATTTGACGATATCCTCGGAGGCGGAGGCGAGGATAAGAAGGCGGCCAAGAAGAAGAAGGGCAAATTCTTCTAAGCGACTTATTACTTGTCATGAGGTCTTCCGCTCCATTCTTTACTGGGTGGGAGATCTTTATTTATACCCTCACTAATACTGCGTGCATGTGTGCTTGGCTGGGGCTCATTTTTCGGCCACGGCGCGGAGTCGATACCTGCATTTCCACCAAGCTATCGCGGGTGCCTGTTGATTTGAATCTGCATTAAAAAAAGGGGGGGGGGAGACAGCGGCATTTACGATTGCGTCTATTTAGGGGAGATTGGTTGGTTGACTGCCTCGAGGGGCCATTGACATCAAAAAAGAAACCTAGTGCATTTTGTGTTGGTCGTTTCATGGACATGACTCCCCCTTGAAAAGATCCTTTTTTTACATTTGGGGATTGGTGTCTCGACGGGATGACGGCACCCCTTTACATAGATCGATAATGATATCTGCCACGGTGGATAGAGGCAATAAGGGGGTTATGAATACAAAGACTTTTGACCAAATTATGTCTTGACCTTCATATTTGTGATTTGCGTGTTTTTGATGGATTCGATGGGGAATGTGGCAGGTTTGCGAATAATATCTGCCGTGCATACTGATCATCCAGTACGCCACCGAAGGCTGGCTGGTGATGCCATCGCTGACACGCTCTATGCCTGGTGCCGCGATGCGTTGCTATGTAGGTCCTTTATGTACTGTCTTATTAGTCCAGTCGGAAGTGCCTGTTCTAGCACCGCCGGCGTGAGGCCAGGACACTTTTCACTTTGCATCCATCTCTGTGACATTGAGAGAGCACTGTTGTGATGGGCCATGGACATCGGCAGCTAGAAGTAGAAGAATTCCCCTGTGTCTGAAGGTTCGTCACTAGCCATCCAACGGGATCGCCTTATGAGTATTCTAATTAGAAAAAGCACCGCGGCGGAAGTGGAAAGAGAGGATGTGTGCTCTGTCGACAGATAAGACCTATTTCCCTTCTGTATAATGAGACAGTTGGTTTGCGGCTCCGACATGTCATCCATTTCGGAGTTTACTCTGGATGGAGCAGATTTGACAGTGTCAAGTCAATGACAATGAACCATATAATTGGCGCTGAATCTCAGGACACTTGGTGGGCTGGCTTGCTTGATATATGTATAATTTTGCTACCCGGCGTACTGCCTGATAAAGGAGGCTTCACTGCGCTCCGCTCCATGAATGTTGCACCCGCTGACTTCCAGCCTTGCGCTTTCTAACACACACCCGCTGAAAGACTCGAGTGGACGTTTGTAGAGCGGGAACGATGAGTTACTTTCTGCGTTCATATGGCGGAATGGTGTGGTTTCAGACAACCTGAACTCATCCTCATGAAGTCACCTCTCAATCCCTTGCTGTCCCAAATTACAAAACTCCCAGACCAGTGACATGTCGCTATCATATGCCTGGTACGTCAATGCTGGTTTGACTTAATCCTTCCTCTCAAGGGAGATTAATTCTGTACTCCAAATCATCCGGGCTCACACTCGCAGGATCGTCCACCTGCTTGATCCACACCACAGACTTGTCCTCGTAGACGACCTCGACATCAAACATGTGCTGCTGCTGCTGCGAATCCCTCTCGCCAACCTGCGTCGCAATCGTCGGGTTCACCTCCTTGTAGCTCTGCAGCATGCTCAGCCAGGTCTGCGTGTCCCACAGCCCGTCGCGGCGCGGGTACGCGCGGAAGAGGCGCAGCGCGTCCGCCCGCACCGCCTCGTCCGCGCACAACAGGGACGCCGCGCCGAGCGGCCAGGTCGGGCTGTTGCTGTCCATGGTGAACATCTCGCCCGTCGTGCGGAGGAGCCGCTGCTGGGCCTGCAGAAACGCCTCGCTGAGGGTGACGTAGGCGCGGAAGCGGGGCGTCATGGCCGCGAGGGCAGCCGAGTCGCAGTAGTTTGCCGTCCTGATCGGGATGGACAGGTACGTCGAGTGGATCTGTAGGCCCAGGGCCTTGAGGTACTCTCTGTCGTTTGCTTGTCTGCCGTGCCGCTGCGTCTTGAGCAAGGGCAGGAACCTCGCGCGCCACGCCTCCACGAAGCGGTCGTGCGCCTTGACCTGCTCCGGGTCGATCGGGAGGCTGGCGTTGGAGGGAAGCACCGGCGCCTTGTTCCCCGTCCCCTCGACGCGGAACCCGATGATGAGGGGCGCGTGGTGGATGACGTGGTGTTGGGTGATTTCCCACCAGCGGTGCGCCTCGTCGAGGGACCCGAACGTGTCTGGCATCTCGTCGACGGCGTATCGCTCCGTCTGGCCCCGGCAGCACCACGGCACCTGCGTCTCCGTCTCCTTGGGGTGGTCTCCGTTGTGGCTCCATGACTGCAGCGTCAGGCGCTGGAAGTTTGTGGCTATCGCGTCCACCAAGGGGTTACGGGACGTCGTCGTCTTCTTGTTCTTCTTCTTGGACCGCCGCTCGTACTGGTCGAGAATGTTGTAGCCATGGTTGAGGTGAGTCAGCGCCGACCTCCTGTCGCCATGCAGGGCCTCGAACGTGATGAACAGGAGACAGGTCATCAGAACGCTGGGGAAGGTCTCCTCCGTCGGCGGCGACTTGACAGTCAGCTGCAGGGCCCGGCTGTAGTACTCCAGAGCATCGGCAAAGTAAGGGCTTTTCCCCGTGAGGCGCTCCTCGCGGGTGCTGCTCCCGAGGGCCGCGGCGCCGATGGCGAAGGCAGCGTTCCTCACGGCCAGGTCCGAGCGTGCGATTTGCGGAATGGTCTCGGTGATGAGCTCCGACGGGAAGACCAGCGTGTCTGTCGCGAAGGACAGCCACTGATCAAAGTGGTCCTTTTGGAGCTGCGTTGTGAAGACGAGGCTTTGGTAGCTCGGCTCGATGGAGAGCGGGGAGCCATTGGTGGTTATTGCCGCGAGCTGTTTCGAGGAGGCGGCGGCGGCGGCGGAGGAGTTTGACGATTTGGGTTCGTATCCCTCGCATGTCACCCGCCGCTTGAGGCAGTTTTGACAAGACGGCTTCGTCTCATCGCACTTGATTCTGCGCCGTCTAGATCATAGTGTTGGTATGATGAGAGGAGATATTTGCCGTCGAAGAAGGTGAACCTACTTGCAAGTGACGCATCCCGTCCGGACTTTGGGCTTGCTAGCCCTGGTGCTAGGCCCGGCGTTGTGAGGCCAGTTGTCAAGCGCAAAGGTGAGAATGTGGGGACCGGGGGAGGGCATCAGGGCTGAATATATGCTTCGTGTAAGAGGCTGAGATCTGAGAGGGGGAGAAAAAAGTGCCAAAGGTGGGATCGTGAAGGTCCAAGGTACTCGGGACTCGGAGACTCAGTTCCCACTATAACGTCTTTGTGCCAAATATGAGATTGCCGTCTTTGGACTCGAGCTGGACCTCTGCGCATTTCCAGAACCGGAGACTTGGCGACTTTTCTGCTGGCGGCGGCGGCTCTTACAAAAGACTGATGTGGCTGTGTTGAAGTTGTCCTCTCTTTGTTGACGCTCAAAGAAATGAACGACCGATGTTACGTTGCTGCCTAAAAACGCTTTACATTATCTATGTCCTGGTTTTTGTTTTCCCCTCCAGATGAACGGCCTGGGATGAGCAGCTTGAGATGAGCAGCTTGAGATTAACAGCTTTAAACGAACGGCTTTCGATGAACGACTTCAGATGAACGGACAGGGGAAAAGAACAAGGGAGGTTGAGTCCTGCTGCAAGTCCACAAGTTGAGAGATATCAGTCAAGTATGGTAATGGGAAGAGGGGTTCGTGGAGGATACACGTGGAGCGTCATCTCCGAGCCATGAGGTTAAAACTAATTGGAGATTGAGGATTGGGTAACATTGGGGAATTCGCACCGCCACCCGTAAGCACAAGTTGGCGGCAGGTCAGCATGGGTGCCAGGAGTTCAGGCAATCGATGACGGCTAGATCAGACATGACAATTATTACATAACCTTGGACAGCACCGTTGGGTTCATCGACTTTCCTAAGCCCGTTGGGCATTCTCAGATGTTGCCCTATTGCAAGGACTCGAGGGACGTGGCTATGTCGCGCCCTTCCCGACTGCGCCGTCGAAAGACGCGGTCTTCAGGTCTGGAACGAGCTAGGTAGGTCGGTAAAGGTTAGTCAAGTAACTAGGAAGGCGGCCCCGCGTGGTGTCAGATCGCTGTTTATCTGTGTGGATGTCTGTGTGACAGGTTCAACTTGCCCCGCGCGCGGGGGGGAGATACGGGGGAAGAGGCAACCCCAGCGAACTCCGCAACGTGGCCGACTCGGGGACCGAACCGGATTAAATCATTGTCGGTAGGTTTTACTGGATCAGTCCGGCTCCGAAGGCGTGACTGAGGGGACGGACGCTAACAGCCCTGTAGGATCCAACCGTTGCAAGGTAGTGGTCAGTTCTTGGTCGACAGTGTGTGTCCTCATTGGAGGGGAGGGAAGGGGTTATGCAGTCATCTAAATCCACCCAAAAGATCCAGAGCCTTCTCACCTTCCTCCCCAAGAATCTATCAAAACCACGAGGGTCAAGGCTGGAGAAAAGGGAACGTGATTGCATGCGCTTGCTCCGAAGAAGATGCCCTCTTTGAGACCATTGGGTAATCCAGAGCCTGGCCCATTCGTGCCATACAGCCAGCCTGTTGGAGTTCGATATCAGTTGATCATCCCGAAACCCAGTTTCATTCGATGTTGAGAGGCGCCTACCCTAGGCTCTTGGTGCTATCAAGCCCCGTTCCGACATCATTCATAGCTAGTTTGCGATAACGATCCAGTGGGATCCGTCATTTCCAACCAGAGTGTTTATCTTAGGTACCAACTCGGCGAGAGGCCTGACCGATACGTTCAGTGCGGTACTCATATTCCGCAGAAATGGACCCGTGAACACGACGAATGAGGGACGTTTTTAGTACACCCGGGCCAATCGACCAATTCTGTAGAGGTAGCTGGAGCCTCCATGATCTAAATCAAGGAATGTGTGTTTTTCCGGCTCAGGTATGGGCCCACTTCCTCTCTCGCAGACGTATGGTGCAAGGCTAGTTTGCATGCTGTTGGATCATCACCTCATTTGGGGAGCACTCTCCAACGAACAGGAGTTTTCCATACGGATTTCAGACCTTCGTATGCGCTCCCAAAGTCTTCTTCGTGGTAAAGATTCAGTCATCTTCCGAAGACCGACTCTGTGCAACGAAAGCTCCAGTTTGGTGACCCCGTTCATCCGCCTTCGCAATCATACTACCCAAGATGCAAGCGCCGCAACAGGACAATGAGGTCCCGGACCTTCACGATGATCTCGTTCGAAAATATAAGAGACACGGCGCTAAAATCCAGCAAATCTGGAGGGAGTTCAATGTAGGCCAGCGCGCGAATTGTGTGAAGGCTGGAGTGATGGATGGCGTCTTGTTAAGACACTCGAGAGATACTTCCCTAGGCAATCTTTACGCGATCATTCCCGAATGGAACTTATGCGACTTGACTGAACAACCCGAACATTTTCTAAGCATGCTAGAGTATCGCGCCAAGAACACACTCGAGGAACAGTTCTTGAAGGGACCTAACGGCGGTGAGGGCGATAGCGGCATCATCAATAAGAGCATGCGGACCCGGAACCTAAGTCCTGTTACGTCTTACAAAGACTCTTACATCCTGTTTTACAACGGGAGACATTACGGTTTTCCTGTTCATTTACCCGAAAACGACGAGGAATCCTCGCGTCGATTCGCTCCAGCGAAAAGAGCAGGACTGTTGCCACCAAGAGCCACTGGCGAGCTGGTTTTGCGACGTCAGACCGACTTGCTGCGGTCACTCAACATCCTCATCGACGATGTCCTGGAGCAGGGCTCAAAGGTGCGAAGCGAGACCCAGCGCCCAAAGCATTCCGAGGAAACAGCCACTGAGACATTCTCAAAATTGAACATCAGTGAATCACCCGCCAAGCTTTCCCTGACCGATCTCGTCACCGCTGCTCGCGACCAGGCGGCGTCTCTCAAGGAACGCCTAGAGTTGTACTCAGAGCCGGTTGTCCTTTCCCACGACGTTAACTTCTGGTTCTTCAGTCGCCCGGAGCTTCTTCCAGACGAAAAAGGACGTCGGCTGCCGCTGGTTTCCGACAAGTACATCAGTGCTAGTGTCTTCGACGCCGTCCATAACGCCGTCAAGATAGCAGCCTTATGGAGCTACATCCAACAGCTTCTCGAACGTTTTGAAAGCCTGAACAAAGACAAGGCCCACAGAATGATTCTGTTACAGGAGATAGCCAACGCCGCCCAGCTCGCATACGCCTCCGCCCGGTCCCTATTCAAGCGGTATATCCAAGTATATTCGGGCAGCAGGTGGTACAAGCGGATTTCCAATGCGTACGACGACGCCGGCAACGCGCGCGTGACGCTCAAAGGCAACCCAGGCGACTTGACAAGGAGCGATCCTCAACTTCACTACATACTCCGCCTTTGTCACCCTGACACCACTGCCTCCAAAGCTGTCGATTGGCTGAAGAAGTTGGGCGATCTTCATCAGGCCTACCCTCAAGAGCGAGAGAACTTGGTCGAAAGCGAGTTTGAGTCTCTCTGTGATCTGGCCACTACTGTCGCCTTCATTCAAGATGTTACCAGAACGATCTCGGCGCCGGCTCCGTCCCGCAAAAGGGGGCAATTATTCGTCTCCAGATCCCAAGAGCTGGAAACGGAACTGAACAAGCTCAAGACAGGCCTTGATTTGAGGGACTTTGCTGTACCTATCGACAACCTTTTGGAGCCTGGCATGACCGAGGCCGCTCTGAAGACCCTCGACCAGTTTGTCGTCGATAATGCTGGTGCAAAGCTCGGTGTGCTATATGAAGATCTCGTTGACGAGTGTTTCTCCGACCTTGAGAACCAGTACGAACAGTACAAGGCCAAGATCGAGCAAGGCCACAAGGAGTGGACACCCGTCGCGGTGCCTGCTCCCGAGCCGCGAGAGGCCTTGGTTGAGCAGCGGAAGCAGAAGGAAAAGACTCGCCCTGCTCACATGTCTGCCTATGAGATCGGTCCTCCAGCTGAGGCTACAATTACAGAACCAGCCAACGAGAAGCAGACGTTCAAGGTCACACCGGCGACCGCCGAGGTTTTCAATACCCTCTTCAACAAGTCCGAGTCCCGAGGTGCGGTGAACTGGACGGCGTTCGAAGGCGCAATGGCGGAGCTTGGATTCTCAGTTCTGCCCAAGTACGGTTCGGTCTTCACTTTCATACCGCCTGCGAGTATGGCATTCAAGTGGTCTTTAACTGTCCATCGGCCTCACAAGTCCCAGATTGAAGGATACATGACGCTAGTTTACGCTCGGCGACTCAAGAGGGTGTATGGATGGGATGAGAGGACGTTCTTGGTAGTGTAAATGAGATTTGTGGTTTTCATCGCAGGGAATTTGACGTACTTTACTTGGGGGTGCACTGGCTGAGCTGGCTTTTGGCGTTTGAAATTTTACACCTTCGTTGAGGATTGCGATGTAAGGGAGCCAGTGAATTTGAGGAAGCTGTAGGCGGCTGGTAACCAGATGAACCGGACCCTGAAAGAGCGAGATTGGCGTCTAACGACAAGGATGCGCAGGTTTTTGGGGAGGATAAGGCTCAGGAAGGTCGGTTGTCATGGTCATAAACACCATCCAGACTTCAGAGTAGAGACAAACACGAGTTCTCGTTCTCGTCCTGCGCACAGATAAACTTCCACACCTGATACACATGACGCTTGGCAGGATGCAAAATCTTGCGGAATCACGAGAAGCACGATACAATGGCCTTATGGATCTCTCTCCAGGAGATTATGCACCGCCCGTTGAGGTTCATAACCATTGAGGTTGGATGAGTCCTCTCGTCTACGATAGTTATTGACGTCCGCGGCCGATTACCTTTATAGCCGACCCCTCTGGCCGTTGACCTCTGTAACCGACGCCCTTGTTAGAGGTAATTCGCCCACAACCCTGTGGTGTCATACAGGCTTCTTGAAATCGCCAATTGGGGTTATTGGCATGGCTTTGTGGCATGGCTTGTGTGTAAACTATCGTGTATTTCCCATTGAAAGGTGGACTCCACTACAGCTATCAAAGCCGAAATGCCACTTGTATTCAATGCACCAGAATAACAGTAAACTTTCAAAGCTCGGCTCTATTGAATGTGCCGTCGGGCTATTTTGAAGATATGCTAATTCTGTGTCTTGTTATTGGTATAAGTATCAAGTCCCAATCAGCCGCTGTCAGCTAAAATATAAGAAATCGCTGATCACGATCGTGAGAAATCGCTACTTCCGACCGCCGGAAATTGCTGATTGCGACTGTGGGAAAATGTTAACTACGATTATATAGAGTGCAGCTGGCGGGCACAGCACACGGTCAAAACAGTCGGGCTTAATTTTATGAGACGCTTAGTCGAAGACATTTAGTCGAAAATATAGCCGTAGCCGCAAGGTCGCAGGCCAAGGTCATGGTGGTTGCTTGAGGACATTGGTACGCAGACTGAGGACATGGTGCCGATGATGGGACTGCGGAATGCCAGGACGACAAGACCACCCTGACCCACTCCTTGTCGTCTTGTGCCGGTGTGTTCGGTGAAGGAAGTCGCCAGGTTATGCAACAATTTGTGCCGTCCATGGGCAATATTCTGCATAAATCGCCAATGGGCGGGACCTGATGGCGGAGCATGGTGAACCTGTTTGTCACATTTCCCACCACAGTCCCTATAGACCGCAATCGGCCGGACGCTCAAGAAAGTACATAGTAGACCAAAAGACAGTGGGACTCAATAGTTGCAGTAAGCCAATGGTTGTCGGCTTCAAGTCTCACCGTCTGTTTGTGGATCGTGGTGGATGTTTTCGCGTAACTCACCGGAACTGTCTCTGGTCCAACAAGCTTATTGGACATGTTTGCAGCCAATTTCCGCACGTATCCACACGGTGTAAGGTTTCTCCTTGCCCGGAATGACTCGTGGCCTCCCGAGTTCTGCCGCCGCACCGATCCGCGGCTCGCAACACCGCCCAACAGACTTCTATATTTATTTTGAAGACTATTGTAGATTGACAGTCTTTTACAAAAGCTATCAAAGAGTATTAACAGAGCCTTATAATCATGCCTAGCTTAGAAATATAAATAGCCTCGGTAGCCTGAATAACATCAAGATGTGGCTGAGGAGGGGGGGATCAAATCATGAACGCATAGTGTAACGTTGCTCGCTAAAAACGCTTTTCATTATCTACATCCTGGTTCTGGTTTTTTCCCTCAGACGAACGGACAGGGGACAGGAAGAAGGTAACTTGAATTCTGTTGCAGGGCCACAAGTTGAGAATATTAGTCATCGATATTGGTGGGGGTATATCCCGATTAGGTCTAGCCAAAGCGGGCCGCGGGTGGGAAGTGGCCTGTGCTGACGGGCCGATATGCGGGGTACGACTTAGCGCCGAGCGCCGATATCACCGAGCCATCTCGGCCGAGACTCCGGTGCGCGCATCAAAATTTCAACAAAATCAATAACTGAATCCCACACAGCGAAAATCGGCCAGCCCTTAGCTGATGGCTTATTGGGAAGCTGGCAAATTACTTGCAGTCAAGCGAACCTCTGGAACACGACGGATGCCTCATACAGCCGCCATTCCTCATTATCACGAGCTTCTTCTTCATGGCCCTAGGCAAGCTAGAGCGCATAATGAAAAATTCGCGTCGCCTGGAAGCAGTGTAATACCAGGGACACAGTGGGAGGAGCCGTGTGCAAGCACAGAGGGCTCCCCCCGCGACCAAAAATAGGAATAATCACGATTGGTCTCCTTGGAGACCTTTCAGAGATTAAACTGAAAAGAACAGATACTACACTTGATCTAAGCCAAAAGGCGAAGAGAGCTGAGGAAGGAAGGAGGAAAACAGTAAATGAAGAAGGGGAAATGGGAGTTATATAGTTGATTTGGACAGATACTGCGGATCGGCCGGTCATACCGGTGGTAGGGCAGCTGAACCCTAGTGTCAGTGCTTCCACCGACGCTGAGTCGAGAGTGAGACATGACTGGTCGATAAGACGGAGATAAACCGGAACTATTCGTAATGAACACGTAAGAGAACGTTGGTACCCCGTACGGATTCAACCGGTAACGGACAAAATTGTTGATCACAACCCTTGTTGAATGCGAGTATATTGTATTGAGTGCACGATCTGGCTTCGTTTGGCTATGCCAGTTTCTCTCTGTCTCTCGTCTTGTTGCTGCTGGCTAGGTACCGCGATAAGAAAACCCTTGAAGCAACTCCGCCGGCCGTCATGTTAAAGTCTCCCTCTGAGCAGCATGCCTCTCTGCGTTTCATCTCCCGTTGGGCTATCTAACATCCGGCCCACCTGGGAGATGTGACCCTAGACTGGTTCTCTCCATCTTCCTTGTTTATTCTTGTTTGCCCGGATACTCCCCCTTCAATCTCGCGAGCATTGGCCAGGCGATCCTGTCTGAATTCTCGACGGTTTTAATGCGGATATCCGCATCGACATCGTCTGCAGACACCCGTTGCGCAATGACGGCGGCAGGGAAATCAAGCTTCAAGACGAGAAATCTGAGCTTCTGGATTTCGCTGAAGAATGTATCAACCAGCTGCTGGATGCCTGGGTCGCCAGGAGACCCTCGGCTCACGATAGAGAGATATGTCAAATGTGTGAGGTTGTCACCCAACGCCTATGAGTATTAGTGAATGAGAACCTCGGTATAATAAAGTCAAAAATGTTTACCTTAGCAAGCTGGTCGTTCCGGTTGGTCGGGAGGGTTAGAGAAAGGCTTTTAGCGAGGCAGAACTTTGTGGAGAGACACGCTAAATGCAGGTCCGTCAAGACTCCTGTTTGCCCGGTTCTCCCCAGCTCGAATTCTCTGGGTTTCTGGTTCTCGAGGAGAAATGTCAGCATTGAGTTGCTGCTTAAGCCGAGTAGGGCTAGGCTCTCTAGTTGGCGCGCGTGGAGCCCCTCCATGATCAGGGATATCGACTCGTCATAGCCGTGTATGCGTAGTGACTTTATTGTTCTTGGAAGGAACTGAGGGGTGACATAGCGCCTAAGTCTTTCCAAGTCCTCAGTGTCTAGTCCGAGAAGGTCCAAGTTGAGAACTCTCAGGAAATCGCCGTCGATAAGAACCGCAATCATGTTGGACACGAGGCTGGGGCACCCCTGAACTCTCCAATTGGAGCCAAAAATCTCCCAACCAACTGGTAAAGAGCGGACGATGACGATGGTAAGGACTCTAGAAAGACACGATGAGTTGACTGGTCACCAATCGAGACGAGCTTCAACATACCTGTATGCTGATGGAATTGACCGTAGCTTTCCTACGGCTTGTGGTGCTACGAGTCTCTTTCTCAACAGCCGGTTGAGTTCCATTGGCAACCCAATAAGAGAGACATCTCGATAAAGATGGTCGAGAACTTCGTTCCGGATCTTGTTATTTGTCCACATGAGCTGAGTCAAAGCCTCCTGCTCACTTGCCTCGTAGATCTCGCGACGGATCTCCGAAGGCAACTTCTCAAAGTAATGAAAGGATCGGGAAGTAGACATATTGTTTGTATGGTGTTGCCTTATCAAATGAGAGGCCTCGGAAATCTTAAAGAGTGGAAACGAAGCTAGTATGCAAATATTTAATTCGAGTCTGGAGATGGAAAAGGCAAAGGATTCACGGCTTTGATAAAGAATAAATCAACTCGCTTCATGAAGGCGTATTTGGGCAAGCACGGCCACCGCATCCTCTGATACCTCCCCTCTCTGCGGCTCCTTCCCCCGATTTGCTCGGACTCAAACCCAACAAACACCTACCCACCTTAGCATCTCCTCGCGGTTCTACTTTCTTTACACAACAACGTCGCTTCACACGTCGACCATTGTCTCGACTTCTCTTCTTATCTTCATTCATCGACCCTGGCGATTAACTATATTACCGGTTTGAGCAGCGGACCGTCTTCTCGTTCACAACCACGTACCGGTTGAACAAGAGGTAGCTATTCCCTCACCCCCAACCCGATTCGATTGAAAATACTAACAAACATCTTGAAAACCAGATTCGATATCGTCAAAATCGCTACCTAGGGAAAAAAAAAAGATGAGCGGCTCAAGAAAGCGAAAGGGAAACGGCGAGGCGAAACGGGGTCGCGACAAGAAGGCGCGGAGGGGCGAACATGAAGCACATCCACTGGACTCTCTCTTAGGCGGTGCTAGAAGAGCTCGGGTCTACAACAGTCTGCAATCAGATGCCATTTTCAGGCAGCATCTGGAAAAAGAGCTGAGAGAAATCACCGATCAATTGGACAATCTCGCCCAAGGCGTCGCACAAAGGCCCAAGCTTGACGCATACACGAAGGCGACCATTTCCAGCCTAGAGATGCTTGAGAAAATGTTGACGGCTCTCACCATCGAAGAATCAGATACAGAAACTGGCTCTACAGCTCTCGATAATGATAATACCGACGCAGAAATAGAGGAAACGGCATTTCAGAAAGCACGACAAGATCTGGAAAAGCTGATACATACCGTCGAGGATAGCTTCTGCGATGAACAAGACGATTATGAGATATTCTTTCGTGATCACGACATACAGTATACTGAGGCACAAAAGATTGAAGAAGATGAGAAGCCAAAGTCTGACCAGCCCAGCGAGGCCGGATCTATTCAACGGTCAATCACGAGAACGAGAACCGCAGATCCCGGTAGCCTTGATGGCCGATCCCTTGTGGACCGCGACTACGTGCGTTTCAGAGGAGAATGGGTGCACATTGATGAGTTCCTGGGTGACAAGTGGAAAAACAAGGCAGTGAGTGGATGCGTCGCCCCTAACAAGATTATAGCACTGACATGTAGCTTTACAGTCTGCCATTCACAATATCAGTCTCCCTTTTCTTCCTCCCATCCCAGGTCTCAAGACGAGCCTGACAGTATGGCAAAGATATGGTGTGAAGAAGATGCTGAGATGCATCGAGGAGTTCAAAGGCTGCATCCTTGCGGATGAGATGGGCATGGGGAAGACTCTAACCTGCATTATTACGGCCCTTCTTTACCGCAAGTCAAATCCGACGACAGGATTCATCCTCGTTGTGAGTCCAAAGTCGTGCATCCGAGGCTGGATCAAACAGCTGAGTGTACACTTTGAAGAGGCAAGTGACATTGGTCCCCTGTTCAATATTGGCTACTTACTAACTGGACTAGGGAAAAGCACCCAAGTTTTTCGTCCTCGAGGATGCTCGTACGACGGCGGAGGACATTATTCGGATAGACCCTGCCTTTGTTCTCGTCACCTGGGGCTTCATAAAGTCACGGCACAACGCCTCTAAGCTGAGAAGAGCGCTTCAGCGTCTGTCCAAGATCAGGGGTTTTGGTGGGCTCCACTCGGAGTATTCAAGCTATCTTCCTCAAGGAAACATCCCCGAGCGCGAGAATGAGGTCTTGCACTCAGATTTGTACGATTTCCTTGGGAAGTCATCGATCGTCTGCATACTTGACGAGGCTCAGCTGGCGAAGAATCAGGAGACTGTGGCTCATCAGGCGGTTCTGAGTTTACCTATCCCAGTGAAAATTCCGGTCTCCGGGAGTATAATTCACAACACCTGGGCAGACGGGGGTGGCATTGTCGCTCAAACAGGACTCGGAATATTCAACAACGTCCAGCATTTCCAGAATATGTTCTCTGTTGCCGGAAAGAATGACAACAGTGGGTATTCATACGAGCTTGCCCCTGAGAGAAAGAATCACTTATTGCGGCTTCTTCTCACGATCACCATTTCGAGATCCGCTTCCCTGTTGCAGCTGCCAAACCGAGAGGAGCATGTGGTCGACTTTACTATCTCGGATGCTGCCGTTGCACTGATTGGAGACTCGATCGCGAAGTTCTTCAAGGTGTGTCATATGCCAAAGACCAAGGGAGGGAGGAAAGCGATACTTCATATGGTCAAAGCTCAGAAACACGCATCCAACCAGTTGCTGCTTATACCGATCAGACCACCAAGAGCAGAATATGGAACGGATTCAGAGGGATCACAGTCTGGAGTTGACAATGACGAGGACCAGGATAGCGAGGCTTCCTACCATGCTGACGAATCTCTCAGCTCCGATGATGGAGATACAGAAGAGTCAGATGGAGAAAACGAAGCTACGCATGATGAGTCAGATGGAGAACACGAAGCTACGCATGATGAGTCGACTCGGAGCAGCTCAGAAGTTGAGCTAGAATCTGACATCGACATCGCAATGCATGACGACGAAGATGAGACTGACACGTGGACGGACAGCGAGAAGGTGGTCTGGGAAAGAATTCTCAAAAACGCCAGCAACGAAGACGTCCTGAGCCCTAGAGTTTCAAAGATTCTCGAATGTCTTCAAGGGATCTTCCACAGTCATCCAGGAGAGAAGATAATCATATTCTCGACATATGTCCGCTTTCTAGACATCATTGAGCTGGCAATCCATCGAAACGCGAGTCTCAATTTTCACCCTCTCCGATTCGATGGCAGCGTAGGAAGAGAGGAGCGAGATCGACGCGCTACAGAATTTGACGAGAACCCGAGTCTACCGGTCATGATGGTGTCAAAAGGTGCTGGTGGTGTAGGCATGGATCTCACTGTCGCTTCTCACATCATTCAATGTGAAGCATGGTGGAATGGAAATGATGAGGCCCAGGCTCATTTTCGATGTTGGAGAGGAGGGCAGACGAGAAAGGTGCATATCTGGCGGATCATGGCAACCAACTCTGCAGTTGACCATTACATTGTGACCCGAAATCAGCAGAAGATGAACCTCGTCGGCGAGTTCATGTCTCTTCTACGGAGAAATGACGAAGATGCAATCATCCTTCCACGTCTTTTCACTAAAGAAGACGAAGAGAGAGAGATTGAAGCGGGTACCGACACTGAGGACTCTGCTGATGATCCTTGAGTCTAATAGATAGCTAGCATGGTGATGCCGAGAACTTAGAATAATAAGAGATGCAGGAGTGGTAGAATAGCACCACCAGACACCACTTGATAGGAAACGACCGTTCCGTGGGCTCGCTGCGTACGGCATATGAATCCACGATCCCGTACAGGGTCTTTCCTTACCTGAATCAGGCCACTTACTATTATACATGCTCGGTATCTTCTCTTTGCGACAGTTATGACTCCAGCCCTCCCGGAAGCCTAACCGTACAAGTAGCTTGACGTAAGGACCACATCCGAGTCTTCAGGTTCGAATCCCGCTCGAGTAGGCGCGTCTAGGTACCTAACAGCAGGTAAAAGTGCCCCCAGTGGCCCCCTTACTGCACTAACGTAAAAGAGAATCAAAGCAAGGAAAATGTTTATTAACGCGAAAGTGATGCTGATGATTCACTCTAAAGTGAGGAGTAGAGAAAATAGAAGGGGATCATGTAAACATGCCCCCATGTCAATATCCCGTCTCAAATGCCAAGACTAGGAAAAGATGAAACGCGTGCAAAAACATTTAGAAATCTAGAGGCATCAACTTCCGCATTTGATGATTTAACCTCATCCTGGTTTAATCATCGTCATCCTCCCCTCCATCTCTCGTTCCTCTGAAGTGCTGTCTGTTTGCCTCGAGAGTCTGATTGAGATACTCGTTGGGGTCGGCGCCTGTAGCATGCTGCAACATTCTTAGAACTGTCTCATTGATCAAGTATTGCTTTGCTTCCGGTGCTACCGTCTCGATATCGGCAACTCTCTTAAAAAAGCGGGATCTTTGATCCGCTCGAGTCTCCTCTGTCTGTTTCTGATGGATGCTCTGATCCTTCTTCGACTTCGTCAGGTAGTACTCCATGGCACTAGTGACCTGCCTCTTCGCGTCTCTCTGTGAGCTATCCTGCAATCTTGCACTTGACGGCTCTTGGTTAGTCTCGGTCATTCCGGGCTCGCTCCATTTTCTCTTCGACGAGTTGCGGTCAGGGGTAGGAGAAACGTTGGTTGCTCTGCGATTGTCAGAGAGTTGTAGGTTATCTGTTGGACGATTATCCCTCTCCTTAGCCCAGTCCTTATTCTGCCACGTCCCTGACCGCACTGATTCTGACCGCACTGATTCAGAACTAGACGATTGCCTGCTTTGTTCGTTTTTTTCCCCGAATAGCAAAGACCATTTGTGTCGACTGTCGTAGCTGCCAACCTCTTGCTGGTTAGACGAGGCTCGAAGACCACCAATCGAATTTACGTCGTCGTTCTCGTAGTTTTCTAGATGACTTTGTCTATATCGGTGAATGTTCTCAACCGCAGACTCACGGCCGTGAAGGCTCAGTGACACCGGCTCGGATATAGAGGATTCTATTGTGAGACGTGCTTCATCGAGATACTCTAACTGGGGAGTAGACTTAGAGTATCCTCCAAACACATGCGGTTGGATGTTGTCGGAATAGAGAGCAGGCGGTTGAGTAGCAGGCGGATGAGGAGTAGGTGCCTGAGAAAAAGGCGGTAGAGTGGCAGGCAGTTGAGTAGCAGGCGGTTGAGGAGTAGGTGCCTGAGAAGCAGGCGGTTGAGAAGCAGGCGGTTGAGAAGCAGGCGGTTGAGGAGTAGGTGGTTGAGGAGTAGGTGCCTGAGAAGCAGGCGGTTGAGAAGCAGGCGGTTGAGTGGCAGGCGGTTGAGGAGTAGACGGTTGAGAAGCAGGCGGTTGAGGAGTAGGTGGTTGAAGAGTAGACAGCTCAGATGCACTCGGCTTGCTGTTATGGGCGTTCCCAGGGATAGAGGCTGCCTTATCATTGTGTCTACCTCTCTTCGAGGTAGAAGTTATGTTGCTGCTCTGGGTTCTTGGATCTTTCCCTGATGGAGAGGGCGCGGCCTTTGGGTCCCGAACGACATTGTCGTTACTTGGTAATGTAGCAGCACTCCTCGACCCAGTCTGATAGTAGAATATCCCGCTGATACCTCGGGACTTTTCCCATAGCGTCTCGATATGATTCCACCTCTCTTGATTGGGATTGGGATTGGCTTCCACCATATCCAAAACTGCAGCAAATCGATCGACCTTTTCCGTAGTCCAGCGTGCCCTCTTGTCCGCGGGGACTTTGAACAACCATAACCATAGGTCCAGCTCATTAATAGAGCGCGAGATCTTCTTGCTTTCCTTCACGGCTTCGTGTTCATTGGTATTCGTAAAGTTCAATGTTTGTGCCGTGGTCGGCTTCTTAAGCGCCTCCAAAATCTCGACTCTCAACGACTCGCTCCAGATGATTTTATTGACGTCGCACTCAAACGCCTTCATCGCTCGCTCAATCCAGCCGTCTTGTTTGACAGGGCGGCCACTTTTGCTCTTGAGGACGAATTCTCCTGTCAATGCTTTGTTGCGGGGCGCCATCAGTGAATTGTACCAAAATTTGTTTCTTCTCCTTAATTTGCTCCTGAGAACGTGTCAGTCATCGATCGCGGCTGATCTAGACATATTTCCCCTGAGCCTAATTTTTACTTACATGCCTTGAATATCGATGGCAACCACAATATGCTTGTGTTTTCGTGTGTCAGCCTCAGCACTTACCAGGCGTCGGATTGTCGGGCAGGAATGCTGTGATATTGACGGTGATCAAAGCAAGAGATTGCACAAGTGGTCGAGAACTCTGATGGAGATTCTCGAATAAAGGGTGTCGAGAAGCCAAATTTTAGAAAAAGAACTTCCTGTTGATTTGAAATTCAAGATAATCGATCCCAGAGATGGTTTCTATAAGAAGTAAAGTGAATGGGTTAAAGAGAGAAGAATGAAGAGCAAGTTCCATGCTTGGTTGCTCTACTTCACCTGCTTCATTCACCGCCGCCCCTGCCACGCCCGCCGCGTCTGCCGCGCCTGCCGCGCTTATTCACCTCTTTTTATTCAGGTGCACAGGTGCGTTCTTTCCTTGCGACTATGAAAACCTGGGGTCTGGAGGGGATTTAATATTTTACTGGGGCAGAGTGTGTGGTCTTTTCCGATCCGGGTGAATAAGGTGTGAGATGGGAGACAGTATTTGCCAGTTGAGTGGTTCCTTACATGTTCTTAGTGTTTCAAAAGTTTTTTCAGAGGTAATGGACATTTTCTCACATATACATGCTTTATTCTCTGATCAGGGCAAGTGTTGTAAGACATATTCACCGTCAAGTCTGAAAATTTTCAGTTAATAATTCTTTTCTTCAACTTGGGGGCCAGTTGCTAGCCGGCCTATCTTATCCCGACGGATATCATAAGACACATTTATAACAGTGTTGCTGCAAACTTTTGAGTTCTTGAAACGAATGTATCTTTGCAGGTCATTTAATTATCGGGGCTTTTGCTTCTTCCACTTGGCACGGGGAATAGTTTTGCTATTTATTGTTCGCCCAGAGCTACTCTTACATGGATGGGCAGCAGAACCAGGGCCGGCGACTTCATCGTTGCCCTACATCCATTCCAGTGACCTAATTCACCGAATAGCTTGCCATGTTCTCATCTTCCTCGCTGTTCTCATTCTCCTCGCTCTCATTCTCCTCACTGTTCTCATTTTCCTCACTGTTCTCATTCTCCTCGCTCTTCTCTTCCACCTCGCTGTTCTCTTCCTGAGAACTCTCATCAATCTCTTGCTTGGCTTTCTCGCGAATCTTCGCTCCGAGATCTTGTAGGCGTCGGATGTGAATTTTCATCGGCGAGAACAGGTGTTCATCTTGGATGGTCTTCATTTGCTGTCCCAGGGCGCGTAAGTAACTCTCCGAGGCGACGTGGGCAGTGGCCCGGTCTGAAGTTGTTCGGAGCTTCTTTGCTGCCTCTTTGATAGACCAACTGCATGGAATGCTGTTGAAGAACTCAAATAGAGCTCTAGAAGCCCCTGTATAGCTGGCGGATAATTTTTTCAATATCTTGATCTCTGACTCAATGAAGTTGAGAACATTGATTTCTGAGAGTTGATATGTCGCCGATCTATTCGGCGCGACTGGGTTTGTGTACAAGGATACGAAAAGGCTTGAATTCTCGATGAGGGACTCAAAATCTTTGTCACAAGTGGGCGGATTGCTCTTCAGGGTCGTTGCGAGGTGCGTGAAGAACATGCGGGTTGTTGGCCAGCTCAGGCAAAGTTTGTCGGGGTTGGCGCACAAGACCCGCGACACGTGCCCAAGTACTTCACCTGTCACAACTCCCATCGCTTCAAGTTCTGGCTGAGGGTAAATTCGCTATCGAAATATTGGTTAGTTCGCTTCCGCATACATCCATGGAGTGGTTTACTCACAAAGAACTCCTCCACGGCCTTGTCGGCCTCCCAAGGAGTCAGTGCCTTCGCCTGAAGCAATTTTTGTAAATACTCGCTCCCTACCCACAGCGTCGGATCACACTGCACTGCTTCTTCAATGATTCCGGTCGCTGCATCAATGTGTCGCTTATCCTTCGTGACCGAAAATTCGGCAAAGTGCGTATATAGGTCGATGAGGATGTCTTCGCCTTGTGGGATGCTCTGCGCCACCTTCCCAGAAACTTGCTCCTCTTGATTCTTGTCCCTGAACAAGATCTGCTTCCACTCCATATCTCTTTTTTCGGTACTCGTTACGGCATCGTTCCGGAACTCGGGGTGGAAGAACACATGAGCCTTGCCCCCGAGGAGGATGGCTTTGCAGATGCCTGTCATAGGGTCCGGGTAAGCGAGCGCATAATACCTCTTCCCGCGATCTTTGGCCACCGATCGACAAACGATCTTCATTGCAGTAGCCTGGTGCTCAAAGACGCGAACCAACCTCGACTTCGACGTGCTTGTACCCTCGGTGAGATCATCAATGCTACATCCTTTGAGTCCTTTATCCGGAACTGGAAGCTGGACAAGAGGCAAAAGCCACCCAACCCAGAGGCCCTCGAATTGAGGGTTTGTACCAGAAGCTTTCTCGGCCTCGAGAGGCAGTCCAATCGTCCCTGTGGTTCTCCCTGCCTCAAGATCGCTCTTCAGCTGCTGGCGGTCATCAGCCTTCTCAGATAGGCTCGAGAAGCGCAGAATCTGATTCCGTTCTCGTTTGAGTCCAAGACCGTCATCGTAAGCGTGGAGATTTGTGGTCCAGGCGAAGACGTTCGAGGGCTGGCGAATGGTTGTTTCAGTAGCACTGTCCATTATCGAAAACGTAAGTTCGCCTGTCGGACAGATGACGCAGAGAAGGCTCTTTGAGAATGTGATGTCATAGAATTTTTCTTGACGAAACTGTTTAAAGAGTTAGTGAAATGTAGACGAGGAAAAAATTGATGGGTACGAACGAAAGTTGAGGTTGTCACCGATTGAGGACGTCGTAGACAGTCTTGAACAAACTGTGCGAGGTTGATTGTGGGTAATGGTTTTTTGACATGCAAAATAAGCCTTAAAAATGGAGAGAAACCCTTTCGCTTGGCATTGATTTTGGGAGATTGAAGTCTGAGTAAACTTGGAAGAGCGAGTTGAGGAGGATTTAATGGAGATGCTCCTGCCAGGCTGCCTCAAGTTTCAATTTTGCCCTGGACCTGCCAGTTTCGATAAGGGCCTTTTAGACGCCATAAAACCTGGGCCTTCAATTCGGAGTAATCCTTCTATCTTTTTAGAGTCTCTCTCCTGTCAACACCGGCTCATTCGCGTATTATTTTCACGTGACCTGCTCAACCATACCTTCTTACCCCTTTGCTGGGCGAGCAAAGACTTCCTAATTGCTCTTCCACGTATTTCTCGGACGTTGAAATTTCAATCAAGTCAATCGAATTTTCTCCACACTGCCAAGAAGAAAATCATCCAGATTCGTTCGCAGCTCATCAAGATTACCGACAAAAGATGGCGCGCAAACGCATCATTCCCCCCAATATGACCAAGAGTCAACTTTTACGGTGCGTCGAAAAAGACCTAAAAAAGGCTGAGGCATGGGCAGCTTCTTCTGTACGTCCAAGTCCATCAATTATCGATTATGCGTTCTGACGTTGTCTAGACCGGAAAAGCTTCCATGAAGCGGCGGAAGAATGAATCTGATGAGGCTTGGAAAGAATGGCTCCAGAACCGCGCACAGCTACGAGACGACAGACTTCTTGCCTTCAAGCAACGCCTCGAGAATCAAGAGACCATTTTGACAGATGCGAATCTCAGAGGGCCATTAAATGTGACGTCTAAATCTCAGAAACAGATAGAGATCAAGTCGCGGCGGAGTCGGAGATTGAGAAGAGTGAGCAAAAAGCAATATCAAGAGAGTTCTCCAGATGATGACGGAGAAGGAGAGGTTGGAGAGGAGACTCTGAGCGAAGATACCGAGGAAAATGAAATGGATTCTTTCAAGAAAGAGGAAATGAATCGGATAATGAAGAACTGGGTGGAGGATGAGGAGGAGGATGAGGATAATCACTTTGGTCATTCTACTCACGAGTATTATGTGACGAAGAATACAACTCCAGCAACTATCCTCGACTACGTTGAGGACGCTGAAGATGATCTTTATAGTGCTTCAGAGTTGGAGGATAGCGAAGAGGCTTTACTGGAGATCGACGACGAGGAATTGGCGGATCTTTAGGATCCCACAACCTGATCATGGATTAGATGAGGGGATATTCTCAAGTCTCAAGAAGTGACAGAATCCCAGCAGTGGCATCACGCATTATTCTTAGTACTTGCATTATTTTCCGAAGAGGACCTTTTTGTGATCAATATTGTCATGAAGGGTCTTATGGGCCGTAAGTAATGCCGTTTGGTCATCACAAGCATATCCGTGCGCGTCATTATGTAACGGGTGAGTCAACTAGGTATGAGAATAGTACTCCTCCAAAGGTAGGTCTGGTATTGAACAGAAGCTGAATCTTGGCTTTCTGCCACTGTGGCACTGGTGGTGGGTTAACTTAACAACCGCATTGAGGGATTAAAAAGGGAGTAGACTGAATAATGGCAGATTCGACTGACATTCACCAGTACACCGGTACTACGTGCACCTCTGACCCCTTCACATGATATGACGCAGCCTGACAGAGTGCCTCAATCTCAAGCTTCAGTATCAGCCGCCATTGTGAGAATTTCAAATAAATTCGCTTCATCAATACTTGCCAGAGCATCGAGAAAACCCAAAGTTCAGGGAAATATTTGAGCAGCAGAAGCGAGAACCATGTCAGGATCTGTCGTGCGGCACGGATATGTTACAGCCTATTGAAACTTGAGATCTCTGGGCCACATTTTGTTCCCGAGGCACCATGAAGGCAAGGCTTGTCAAGGGCGTTGAATTTAACTTCCAACAAGTCATTTCAGTGGGGTTGAATATTCGCCCTTCGCAGACGATGCTGGATAGCGGCCGAAAGACTTTCGATATCTATTCCACGATTGATACCTGTCTCATTGACTCATCCAGTTTGAGAATTTGTCTACTTCTCTGAAGTTTCGCTGGAAATCTAGTATTCTTTCATTTATTTATCGTGTTGAGCCATCGGACCCACAAACAATTCTCTGGTCACTGGGTATGGAACTTCTCCGGACTTCTCGTTTCGAAAACAGATTCATCTCCTTCATGACTATAGTACGAAAGCAAGCAAATAACGACCTCTTCTCACTAACATGCAATTTTCTCCCGTGTTCTAACCTCAGCTCCATGTCCTTCGCAGCAAATATTTCCCCTAACAAAGCAATGCGATACCGTCCTTTCATAAATAGTCCCGGAAAAGTCGATCTTTGATGTAAAGCAAACCTCTCCCCGTGACCGATATCCTCAACATGGTTCCGTATTTGATGCTTCGACTGAAACTATTTGGTCGTGCTCTTCGAAATGATGTATGACTTGTAGGCCGCTTCGGCCGCTGCCTTCGTCATCTTGTGGACATTACGATAGTGCTTGATTAAACCCTCTTTGCTTCTGAAAAGCCTTGCCTTGGTCCTGGTACCGGGACAGACTTCCTGGTCGCAATATCCAGGGGGAAAGTCAGAATGAAACCTGGACCGATGGTTTTTGAAGGCTTTATCATTTTCGAAGTCCCTGTTGCATTCGTCGCACCTCGCGCGAGCGCTGACATGTGCCTCTAGTCGATGCGTTGCTAGTGCACCTTTGGTCGAGAATCTGAGATTACACCCCTCGACCGGGCACGGCAACTTGTCTGTCCAAGCGCTATAGGCCTCGAGAGAAGTGAATTGACAACTCTTCTCATGGTCCTTTTTCTGCCATAGCGTCTTGAAAGACATGTGACAATAAAACTTCTTATTTTGGCATGGAAGTAAGAAGCGAGTCGCATCGTCTCGACTTCCACCATTCAGGGGGCGACTTGTAAAGCCAGCCGAGTTGTCCGGATCATACCTTTCATTTCTCTCTCCAGATCCACGATAGAATTGATTAATTCTCGAAAAGTAATCGACAAAATCGGACACTTTGCCGTCGAAGGGAACCTCCGACAGGTTCGTAGTGGACTCCTGCTCAGAATCCTCGATAGCTGTGTGATCAAGAACCTCGAAAGCGTCATCTTCATCCAGAAGATCGCAGTCAGTGTCAATGAGATTTGCCCCGAAGGCTTCTGTGTCTCGATCCTCAAACTCATACTCATTGAGGCCTTCTGATTCTGCTTCAATGACAGGGGCCGGGCGGTGACCTGTCTGTCCTTCCACCCAGTCTGTTCGATGTTGCTCACGCATCCGCTTCGCAGCTGCGTATCGTTCGGACAAAATCGTAGGATCCAGATTGTAGTGAACACAAGCCTCATTGACCGGCTCGGGACGAAGCTTGCCCATGGGCGTGTAGGGCTCTTGGGCCAACCTCGGGCCGAAGTCCAGAATGTTACTGTTGTCCAAGGCCTGAAGGCGGGGCTTCAGGTCGTCAACAAGTCGGGGGCCAATGTAGTGATCTGTCAATGCAGTGTCTCGAGAAGAGGTCGTATGGTTTAAGCGGCGTCCCACGTGCGTTGTCGATGCTTGACTGTCTAGGTTTGCTGCAGCTAAATCTGCTGCAGCTCCACGGCGTATGTCATGTGTGACGGGCGGGATCACCATTCCGACCAAGTCTGCTGCTTGTCTCAACGTAGTGCCAATCTGTTGCACGCCGGCTGGCTTGTCAAACTGGATGAGGTTGAGACCAATTGTAAAAGCTCCGAGGAGAGGCCACTGCGGGTTCTCCCACACAATCTCTCCATTGAGAGGCGTAGCGAGAGAGTTCTTACAAGCTTCATGTAGGGTTTCGTAGGATCGCTGCTTCACCTGGCCCACCCTCAGGGCCAATACCAGTATCCAGCGTAGTGGACACATTGTTGCAGCCTCGTTTATGGCTTCCTCGAAGACGAGCACCAGGTTACGGTCCGACCGCCTGACAAGTCGGTTAGCTTCATCTCCTCACAACAGATAGGGAGAACATACTTGTATCCTTTCGCATTCCTCACCGTCACTTGAAGGCTCCACTTCTCGCTGCCGTCTCCAAGTACATTGAGACGAATTCGAATGTCTTCCCATTTCATACAAAATGTCGGTCCGTATTGGTTTGAGACAGCCACATCTCCGACTCTCGTGGCGAACGCGTACATTGAGGCGATGCTTAATACTCGTGAGACTAACACGTCCTAGGCGCTGGTACCTCGTTCGAGTGCGTCTTGAAGCATGGCATTGATCATCTTTTTGATTAAGGCAGCCTTGATCCATTGGCGTTGGATTTGATTGTCAGTTGTCAAAATGCCGTCGTCCAGTAGCGTATTGGCAACACTTTCTATGGAGTGTCAGTAAATCACAGAGTTCTTCAGGGCCTTTGTCAAATTACCTAGACGAAGAGCGTGATGACTACTCCATGTGAAGTCTGGGTACGTGAACTCCAGATTCTTCAAAACCACAGTCAAGGCGTGCTTGTAGTAATTCAGTGAAATCTTCTCGCGCTTGCTGTCCATGAAGCGATGAATGATCCAGAAGAACTTTTCCACGTCTTCTCCGACCGGAGTTGTGGTGATACTGTCAGCCTGTTAGCTGTGGCTGCGAGTGAGCGACTAATGTGTCATAACAACGTACTCCTTTTTGAGAACATCCACTACGAAGCGGTTCCAGCGTACTCTCCACAAGGACAGTGTCTGATTCGTGCCGGGAGAAAGTGTATGTCGCTGGATCAAACTCTGGCTGCGGCTTGTGGCCTCAGCCAAGACGGTATCGGCGAGGTCCCTCATGTTGTCCAGGGTGGCACTGGCCCTCGGATGATGAAACGTAGCCATATCTACTTGGACGCGAGGAGTGGAGATTCTTGGAGCCTCTAAGAGATTGGAAAGCTTCCGTCGACCCGTATGTGACGTCGTGTGAAGTACAAAAGATCCTGGTCTCGTCACGAGATAGTGGGTGGGTAGGTGAATATTTCTTTCTTGAGAAGGTATCCGTATCCGAACAGAGACCTACTGAACCAGGAAGAGTCAGACTGGGAACATGTGTTGTAATGATCTTGGATTTGGTCCTTGCCGTCATACAAGCACCTACTGGTTGCGCGGACTTGTCTTGCGGCACGCCAACAAGCTCAGAGCATCGCGTGTTTTTTGACCTCCGACCTGGTGGACAATTGTCCAAGTACGAGACGTTAATGTAAGGGCGAGGGGGGTGAGATGGTGGAGAAACGAGACAGTTTGAACTCGTGCGCGCGCGTTATGACGCGTGTTTACGGTGACACATACGCACTTCCGTGCTGGATGAGGCCAGTGGGAGAGACGAGGAGTTCAGGAAGGTTAAAACCGATAGGAGTGCAGAGAAATGAGCGCAGTGTCGATACTGCGGAGTATGGCTGGGTATGGATGGAGATGGATGGATGAAGAGGAGGAGGTGAGGGAGAGTGGAGGAGTTTCAGTCGCGTGGAAGTGAATCGAGGCAAGAGGTGGGTGGGGGCGGTCAAAATTCCTTCCTCCCGTGACATTATCAAGGACATGGCGCCGTCAAAGGGAAGGCAGCTTGCGGGCATCAGACGTCCGCCTAACTACTTTCCTATCTAGGTATCTACCACTCTAAAATACCTCAGGTAAGGTACCTAAGAGCCTCTCAAGATATTCAAGTTTGAACTTTTCAATTTTCCCATTGCCTCTCTCCTCCTTCCATGACTATCATACAATTACATAAAGGTTCTTTCCGCTTTTCCCCCTTCTTTTGTGCCTGCCTCGATTGATTAATCTAGTCAATCTGGAAGGAGGCATCCATAGAGCTTTAACAAACCAGAACCCATTCCTCCCCACTTCACTCAGACTTCCCCCGTGCCATACATCTTTGACTATTCTCTGCCTTCTACTACCTAACCTCCTCTCCCTCTCATCCTCGCCTCGAGAACCTTCAATACACATTCGACAAAACGCAAAGCCAATTCTAACAGTAGCAACCACAAGGTGGTTGCGTAGCGACGAAGATGGGCGGCAGAAAGTTTACTCTCGAGTTCAAAACTAAGGACACCGAAACCAACAGACCCAAGCTTCAAGAAGCCAGGATCCAGTACTGGGAGAAGATTGAAGCTAGCGACATCACCGGTGCCCTCTGTGATGACCTCAGGAAAGCGGTCCATACAATCCTCGAGGGCACAGTTACCGAGACTACTCTGAATCCCGTCAACACAGTATCGTACAGGGAGATCAGCAAGTTTGCAAAATGTGAGGACCGCGTCAAAGAATGCCAAATTTGGGCCGGCGTGTGCATGCAGGGAGGTTCCACACCGCGGGCCTGGGATACAACTTCCCACAATGGTCCAGCATTGAACCCATTCTTCGACATGGCGAAGAAGATTCACAATCCTAATTTCGACGGAGATGTGAGAGAATTGGTCAACAAAACCCACGGAATCTTGGGAATTGACTATGCCCATATCGAATCCGACCCCCTAGATAAGAAAAAATACGTTGATATCATGAGGGCGGTGGCGATGACGAATGCGGAGAACGAGCGGAAGAGAAACGGGGAGAAGGACTTTACCTCTGACGAGGACACGGAGGACGAGAACGAGGACGAGAACGAGGACGAGAATGAGGACGAGAACGAGGACGAGAACGAGGACGAGAACGAGAACGAGAACAAGAACGAGAAGGAAGACAAGAAGAAGACGACGAGAGCCACATCAAGAAAGCGCACCAACAAACCGAAGAACAACTTAAAATTATTGGGTTCGAAAGATGAGAAAGGGAATGGGTCTGAGACTGGCTACTTGAAGACCACGAAGACTCAGATGGCAGCTCTTAATAAGAAAAACGCTACACTTATCGCGGAGGTAAAAGCGGTCAAAGAAGGAGAACAACGCGCCATGAAACAGGTAGAGACCCTCAAGCAGAAGTTGAAGTCCGCAAGAGAAAATGCAACAGCGACCAAAGAAGGAGAACAACGCGCCATGAAAGAGGTAGAGACCCTCAAGCAGAAGTTGAAGTCCGCAAGAGAAAATGCAACAGCGACCAAAGAAGGAGAACAACGCGCCATGAAAGAGGCAGAGACCCTCGGGGAGAAGTTGGAGTCCGCAAGAGAAGAAATAAGAGTGGTCAAAGAAAGAGAACAACGCGCCAATGCAAAGGTTCAAGATCTCGACAAGGAAGTCGCGTCAATGAGAGAAGAAATAAATATGGGTAAGAAGGTCCAAGATTCTCTGCGAGGAGCCCAAGAGGGTGATAAGGAGCTGCAAGAATCTGTAGAACAGCTGGAGACTCAACGAGATGGACGCAAACTCGAGACCAACCCTGAGGATGAGCCAGGCCGGAAACGGATCAAACAATGGGACCCAAGAGAGGAAGCTCAAGGAAAGATCACCAACACTTTAGAGGAACAGCACCTCGAAAAGTGCCAGGAGGAAACTCGCAAGGCCTTCATGGAAAAGTGGCACTCCGTGCCGGCGGCTCAGAAAACGCCAACCTTCTTTCAAGCAATGCATCTTTACTATACTCGTCCAGGTGGGGAACCCCTCCTCGCAGACTTGGACGCGGCCATCAAGAATACCAACAATGGCACGGGTTGAAACCAATGACAGGTCTCGATCTTTCAAATTTCTCAATATTCTTAATTTGGTTTTCAACATTCTTCACAGGATTCATCGGAATTCAAGGAGAGAAGCGCTGGAGTAAGCGATGAGGACGGGGATCTCCTCTTCTCAAGCGCATATCCGGGCATCGGGAGAACAGGGGCAAGGACGCAGAACTCATAGCAATAGATTAATAGATCAATACGCACACTCAGTCGAAATTTTGCATGATGGCGGTATCTCTGTGAGAGAAGTTTTAGTCTTTTAGCAACTCTTGCTCAATTGAGTTGGTGAGTCCGAGGGTAGTTCTTGTTAGAGCAAATTTGCAATCTGAGAAAGTTGCGTGTGCCAATATCGGGACCGCGAAACATGCTTGAAGTTGCTGGTCGACTCAGTGAGCCGTCAGGCATAATCCGATGCCGGAAGCTGGCAGGCTATTACATCCGGTTTACTAAAGTCAGTGGCTTTTGTATTTTGCGCATAAGGGGGTGTATTTCTATGTCAATGGCGCTGTTCCTCCAAAGTGTTGGTGGTTGTCGGATTGGAAGCCCAATTCGACCTCGAGTCAGCGCAAGCGCAGGGGCCAACTGAGGGTCTCTATATCAGCTTTCAACTGACGGTCTAATCTCCGGTTAGAACCTCTCTTGTTCCACTTCACGCAGAGATCAATATACAGTTAATTGACCCTTCGTCACCACGGTTCGATCGAACAAATCACCGTGTGATACGTAATCCAACAGTGGTCTTTCCTTGAGATTCCTCTCTTGGATCCCATCGTTTGATCCGTTTCCGGTCTGGCTTATCCTCTGTATCAATCTCGGACCCATGCTGCTCCCGTCGAGCCTTCTTGTCAGGCTTTCCCGCGGATCCTTGTTGCCGCTGAGCGAGTCGTCATATCCTTGTTCTCGTCTCTAGCACCGGAAAGGCTGTCGTCTTCTTCAGAACATTCGTCGTTGACTTCCTTCTTTATACCATCGTTTTCGGTGTGAGCTGGAGATCCCTCTTCCGTTTTCAAAGCGATCTTGCCCTGGATGGCGCTTTGTTGAGAAGCCTGTTTGCTGTTAGATTACGGGAGACTAACTTACATACAAGGAAGTAGTCAGTAAGCTTACCTGTGTATCGGATTATGTCTTGGTCTTATCCGGAGATCGAGTGAGCCGATGACTCGGTGAGATGATTTTCAAGCTTTTTTCAAGGTGCCATAGTAGCAACTCTTGCTCAATTGAGTTGGTGAGTCCGAGGGTAGTTCTTGCTAGAACAAATTTGCAGTCTGAGAAATATCTTCCTTCCTTGGGAGTTTGGTAAGAAATCCAGGTTGTAATGAGAGAAATTTTGGAAGCGAGAGATGGAAGCGAGAGATGGAAGCGAGAGATGGAAGTGAGTTGGATGGAAGTGAGTTGGATGGAAGTGAGTTGGATGGAAGTGGGTTGGAGGGGGGAGGGAGGGTATTTATAGGCGAGTATAGACGACCCTCGGGCTAGATGGGCGATAGGTCAGGAAGTAGCACCTGCCCTGACACTCGGTCTTTCCTGCTTCAGCGCTGCTTCATATTCAGAACCAATGTCAGGAAGTTACGAAAATTGGGGTTTAGGCAAATCCTGTAGGCGGCTCTATAACCTCCTATCAAGTCTTTTTCAGGTAGGAAGGTATTAATGTCACCAGAGCTTTTGGTTCGTCTACAATTCCCACGTCCCGTCTTCGGCGAAGCTCCTTCATGAATCATAAGGTAAGCTTTAGGGTAGTCATCGGAAGTCGAGCAGATGAAAAGAGTACCGATTGATTTTGCTTAATCCGATGTGTGCTTCTATGACTGATTTCTACTCTCTAATTGCCTATCGACCTGCTTCTTCTGTCCTTGTCTGTCCTTGCTCGTTCCTGCCCGGCCTTGGCCTACATTGTGAGCGTCGGTCCTGCCGGCCCTGTTACGTGTGAAGCCACTCCGTTCCGGTTCCGATCGGCTCTGTGTCGAAACTTCGGTTCCTTCTGAAAGCGGAGGGCGCCTTCGTTGCGGAAAGGTGATTCTGCGAGTCCCTGTCACAAGAATATCTTGCGCACGAGCTTTAAATAAACTTGCCGCGTGTGTGGCACACCCACCTCTCAGGCGGAGCGTTCTTACCGACTTCTTCCAGCCACTAACAATGTAATCCAGCATCTTGCTTTCATCTGATTGTCGTCTCGTCTCTGGTCGCCTTTGCTCTTTGGTCTGGTCTTCTTCCTTGAACAGTTTCATTGCCCCGGTATACAGGCTAGCGTAGGAAAAATCTTCTACCTTGAAGTCACCAATCATCCAATCTCATTTGCGTATGGATGGATGATTGTTTGAGTGTGGTCATCCTCAATCCTAGCCATCCACTCTAGGAACTGGCTTGCTGGCTTCAGCGGCCGTCTGAGAGTTCGAGACTACAATCGCGACGCCTTTCGAAACAAAATTCATCTGAAATCATTTGAACCTTGAAATCCTGGGATTTGAGCCACATATATCTACTAGGTATGCATTTGCTTTTGGTTGATAATCCCGTTTTTGCATGGCGTGCTTTAGAGAAGTTACGAGTGCCATTATCGGGACCCCGAAACATGATTGAAGTTGCTGGTCGACTCAGTGAGCCGTCAGTTATAAATCGATGCCGGAAGCTGGCAGACTGTGGCATCCGCTTTGCTGGAGTCAGCGGCTTTTGCATTATGCGCGTAAGGGGGTGTATTTCCATGTCAATGGCGCTGAGCCCGGCGTCCCGGAAGTGTGCTCAGCTTTTATGGCTCTATCGGAGCTTGTGCCGGCCGCTGTCAACGGGTGGCTGGAGGTCCAGGACCTAGCCCAATTAGGACAGGATACGTACCGTTTATTGTCCCGCCGGGCCTGTTCCTTGCCTGCCCTCTGCGCCACCGAAGGGAAAGATTGGGGAAAGAACACCTCAGCTGAGCCCTCAGCCACGGGTAGCTTTGCTGGACGTAGCGGCGCAGCATCCACTAGGAATCCACCAGCCCATCCAATGTCGTACCTATTACCGTGTTGTTCTTACGGGAATCCACGGCAGACGCCGAATCGAACTGACTCTGGGCGACAAGACCAACTCTGACAAGTTTTCTTCGCCCAAGCCGTCGTCATCCTGCCAAGAACGAATGGCAAACTGCGTGAATACGCCGCGTACGACGTAAAGTTCACATATCCCAAGCAGCGCATAGCTGGTCTCGCGGCAGCTTTCAATTATACTTTTTTTTCTCCCTACGCTCAACAGATTTCCCAGCATCCCACTTTGCACCTTCACGCCCGCAACCGCGCTTCTCGATAGATCGCGCGGAGAGACACCACCAATCTCCTTCAATATGCCCAGTACGAGGCTTCGCAAGGTCTACAGGACCGACGATGTCGTGGACCTGAAGGACGAAGAAAAGAAGCAACTGCTCGAGGTATCTTGAGCTCCTCGCGGGTCCCCCAGAGCTCGACCATCAGCTGACAGTTCTGCCCCTCCAGAGCTACCTCCCAGACGGCCCCCCGGAAGACGCGCGGCGAGAATGGCGCGACGACGATATTCCTCGCAAGGGCAGGTTTGGACTGAGACGCGCCCTTCGCTCGAAACTACACCTTGCGATTTACACAATCCTGCACGCCATTTTCTCTCTATACATTCGGATACGACAGGCGTGGCACCTGGTGTGCTACCATGTATCCTCCGTTATGTTCTACCACCACCGAACCCCGGAGTACATCGAGCGGGATGTCGTTGGTCTGAAGAAGAAGCCGAAGCATCTCAGTGTCATTTTGAAACGCGAGCCGGGTGGAAGGCACGGAGCTGAGTTGGAGAGATTGGTTGCTGAAGCGGCCGAGATTGCCGTGTGGTGCGTTTGCGCCAAGATTCCCATCCTGACGGTATACGAGCGGACAGGTAAGCTCCTGATTCTACGTGCATATCCGACACCTCCATTGACCTCCCTTCTCCTAGGTCTTCTTAAGCATTATCTCCCTCACCTCCAGCAATCCATCATCCAGAAGTCGCGGTCTTATTTTGGTAGGCACCAGCCAGCTTTGACCGTGGCCATGCCTCACGCCGACGATGTCCTCGAGTCCCCAGCCCACGGCGATTTCGTGCGCAACGACCCGCGACACCTCAAGGTCCTCTTCATCTCCGCCGAGGACGGGCGGGAATCCATGGTAGATCTCACTCGCACCTTGACCGAAATGTCCCAAAAGGGCAAGCTTCACCCCGGTGACATCAGCACAGATCTGATCGACGCGGAGCTGTCCGAGGGAATCATGCCGGAACCCGATCTGCTCATTTCGTTCGGTCCGTACGTTGACCTTGATGGCTACCCACCCTGGCCCATTCGCCTGACTGAGATCTTCTGCTTGCCGGACAACCAGGGTGTCGGATATCAAGTGTTTTTGAGAGCGCTGAACAACTTTGCCAGCGCGCAGTTCCGCAAAGGCAAATAGAGAGGTGTTCAGGTTGCGTATACCCCATAAGAGTTTCATGACGTTCACTTGAGCTGGTCTTTGGCGGATGATAACCGCATTTCCCGCATCGTTTTGTCCCACCGATAGACAGGTCCGGTTCCAACATTATAGTTGTAGTAATTTTCAGTTCCCTCCTTCACCATGGCCCTCCTGAACGTGATGTTGATTCTCCCACCGTCCTCCGCATTCTTGCCCGTTCGCTTGGGTATTGAATGAAGCCAATTCGATTGAGTGCGCCCACGCATGAGAATCATGTCGCCGCTGGCTAGGGGCAATTTGATCTGTTTGGGCTGCGGTCTGTCTGGATGCTCAAGATCTGGGGGTATCGGCTTGTGCTTCATGAGGAAATCCCTCCTCGCGCCGAGGGAGAAGGACGCAATCGCTGGATCCGGCCCAAGAAACCTCTCATCGTCGCTGTGGAAGGAAATGCTGTCTGTGCCTGAAGCATAGTAATTAACGAGGCAGAAATTGAACTTGCAATCCGTTGCGGTCTCGGCTGAGCGACGGAGGTCATCAAGACATTTGGGAATTGGTCGCGGCGGGTATCGCTGGTACAGTTTATCGACAACTTTGAAGCCGGACTTCTTGTCTATGACTGAGCCATCGTCGTCAAACCGGGCTGTATCGTCCAAGCCAAATACCGTGGTGAACCTGTTCATGTCAGTCGGTGTGATACAACCAAGCACGAAACGCTTGCTTACCTTGGTGTGCGAATATGAGTTTGGAAGCCGCCCCTCTGAATGTCGTACTCGACTCGGTAGAACGGCAATTCAGAGCGCAGAAACTCAAAGAGGTCTTTGGCCAGATATGAGGGAATGTATGGCTCAAAATACACCAGATCCAGATCCGGCTGATCATTGATGTCCCTGCCTGGGCGAGCGGGAAGTGACGAGAGCTCCTTCACGATGCTACTGGGAAGCTCCGAGATGGGAACGGGATAATTGACATGAGTGGAGTGGCCAATCTGATGGAAGTAAGCTTTTGTCAGTGACCTCGCAACGTTTCAAAAGTGCAATGGGGCTCATACGGTCTCAGCCGATTCATCTCCGTTGCGCGACTTCTTCGCAGACGGGGTGAAGAATGAGTCCAGCGTCCGCTTCTTCGACATGGTGTATGAAAGACTTCGAGACGGTGATGAGGTGTTGTGTAAGTGGAAGGGCAAGCTTGGAGAAACCGGGGACCGTTGAGCAGCAGCCACAAGAAACGGTAAGCTCTAACCAATAAAAAGTAGTCAGGCTTTTGATTTGACCGGAACAAGAACTCTGCAAAGGAAAGTCAAGAAGACATGAAAACCTCAATCACCATGAACGGTTGACATCGATTGGCCTCTCACATTCCTCGCGGAAACGCATATTGACCAATCATCAATGACGCTTATATCACGGAGCTCCAGTGACATCACGCTGCCCGTGGCGCCGCCCAGAAAGTCTCCACTCTCCCACAAGCACTCAGCCTTGCCCATGCGCCACATCCTGGGGACCCCTGCCCCTCAGCCCTAGACGGAAGTTTTTCTCTCAGCCTTGCCCCTCTATGACTGTGCCTGACCATCGACTCATCAACATGGCGGTAAGTCGGAGACCCCTGCACGGCCGGCCCATCTTGATATCTGAAAATCGTGCTAATTACATCGTGAAGAATTCAAATTCTGACATGATTAGCCTTCAGGCGCCTCTTGCCCGCGCGGCCACAATTCTTAACCGTTCCCTCTTCTCCAAGAAGTTGGAACTCGCTGCTGCGACGGTCAAGGACCCCCGCAACATCTCCAAGTACCGCAAGCAACTGGAGAAGGGCAATGAGCTCCTCAAACTCGATCGCCTGGATTCTTGCAGGACTGATCCCAAGTCATCTGGTTTGAAATGTCTTCTGCTGCGACCGGGCGTGAAAGCTGATAGTATGCGCCCCCCTCTGACGCGTGCTGTATGTCATGACTCTGTGATTAACACGAGACTCAGCACCGACGACATGGGGTCCCGTGTTCCAGGAGGGTATCAAGTCTGGAGAGCTGGATGTGGTGCCTTATGAGCTGGAGCTCGACTATGACTACTGGAGCTACCGTGAGTGTGGTTCGTCTCAGAATGCAAGTGGACGTGCTAACCCCTGCCGAAGTCGATGTGATGACATCCATCTTGCCCGAGGAACTTCACGTAGAGATCCCGGTTGGTTTCAACACGGCTGGACATATTGGTATGTCATTCAAAGCCATGCGGTGAAACCTGTGATTGACCGTCGCAGCGCACCTCAACCTCAAGGAACAGTACCTTCCGTACAAGAAGATCATTGCAGAGGTCATCCTCGACAAGAATCCCAAAATCACCACTGTTATCAACAAGGTTGACAATGTCGGTACCGAGTCGGAGTTTAGAACGTTTTCGTACGAGGTTCTCTGCGGACCCGAGGACCTGAACGTCGAGGTCAAGGAGAACGACTGCATCTTCCAGTTTGACTATTCCAAGGTGTACTGGAACAGCAAGCTCGAGCCTGAACACACTAGGCTTATCAGCATGTTCAAGCCAGGAGAAGTTGTGGCCGATGTCATGGCGGGTATTGGACCGTTTGTCGTGCCTGCAGGAAGGAAGGGCGTCTTCGTTTTTGCCAACGACATGAACCCCGAAAGTTACAAGTACCTTGACGCCGCGATCCAGAAGAACAAGGTCCAGCAGTACGTCCGCCCGTACAACATGGACGGCCGCAAGTTCATCCAGGAGGCTGTTCACCAAGTCTACGACGCTTCGACAAAGGGAGAAGGCGCTGTCATCAAACCCAAGCAGTCTAGGAGCAAACCCCAAAACCCGCCCCCTCAGCCGAAGCACATCCCGATCCCACCCACAATCTCGCACTTCGTCATGAACCTACCGGCTTCGGCGTACACGTTTGTCAAACACTACAAGGGCATCTACCGCGGGCACGAGAAGCTCTTCGAACCTCACACGTCTGCTAAACTCCCCATGGTGCACGTTCACTGCTTCGCCCTCAAGAGCGACGACGAGGTACCTCTGAACGACATCCTGGAACGCATCTACGCCGAGATCGGCTTCAAATTCAAGCTCGGAGATGCGGATAAGCAGGGAGAAATGACCATCTACAATGTGCGGGACGTGGCTCCGAAGAAGCGCATGTTCTGTGCGAGCTTCCGAATCCCCCCCGAGGTCGCCTTTGCGGCAGAAAGCTGAGATTCGCCCGCTCGGTTTTCAGCATCGCCGCCCCCGCAGGTATCGTTTGATGGCACTGTTGCTGAGTGGGCGTACGGATGCCCGTTCGGTGACACAACGTCTCAGTGACACCTTTACCCCGCGACTTTTCTTCTCCTCACGCCATACAGGACTATCATCATCCGTGTTCGCGATCGATATCCCAACTGCGCCATCCAGACGTCTCCCAACCCCGCATCGCTTCGCTCACCTTGCAGCTGGTGTAAGGCTGACAAAGCTCCCAGTGAAGACTTTCAGCGCCTTCCGTATATCTGTTGTAGATGAAGGACTTGCCTGATCGGCCGTCTTGCAGGAGAGGGGCTGGCCAGCCGAGATAACGTACTGCGACCTGACGGTGTCGTGACGGGAAATCTGGCCACCATTCATCACAACACGGAGAGCAGAGAGGCTGCACAGTGAAGAGAAAAGAAACAACAACATGCGAAGGAGGAGGAGGCAGGTCCACCTCGTCTCGACTCGTCTCGGCGACTACAGCTTCGATACCAACCAATACCCACCTCCAATCGCACATTCTATATCTGCCCTCCGATATACATGCAATCATGACTACTTGCATCCATCCCAGTTGTGCATATGCGGGCCCATCCCCTTCATCTCTACCCTGGTGGTGTCGTTGTTGTCGAACGCAACCACCAAACGCCCGGCATGTGATGCCGCCTGCCCAGCCCGCCCAGTCCAAGGGTCCGGCGTGGTCGAGGCAACCCCTACCTACCTAGACCGAGCCTCCATTTCGCGACGCCGTGCAACCCATCTCGCGACGCCCCAGTCCAGCCCAGCCGAACGTCGACGCGCCTCCCGTTCCCCCGCCCCTTAACGCCCCCCCTTCTCTCTTCAAGTCCTGGCTGCGTTGCTTGGTACAGCTACACTCACACGAAACGCGTCTCCATCCCCCCCCCGTACTTTCCTTCCAGGCGCCGCGGCGGCTGCACCATGACATGTAGATGATGACGAGGTTTTTTTTTGCTCCCGGTGAGGCGGGGGGCCGCCCAGAGGAGAGCAAGGCCTAGAACGCGAGGGATTCGATTTCCGTGTTTGTCCCGTCCCACCTTTCAACAACCTCCTGCGACCTGTCAAAGCTGTATGCGTGTGTGTATGTGTGTGTATATGCATGTCTTGTGTGTCTCTGTGTTGTCGAATCTACAACGATCTAGGGGTCATGTCTCAACGGCCGGCCGGTTCGTGTGTATGTTCTGCGTACCGCGAGAAACTCGTAGAGCCCTTCACATCAACTCATCGAATCCATCCCCATCCGACACCATGAATAACGTTCTCAGTACACACCCACGCCCCAACATTGGGCATCCACATCACGCATCCATCCAGTATGTCCCGTCGCAGCGGCAGCGGATCCGCGCCCTGCCGCGGCGCGGCGCCGTCTAGGGACCCTCCCGCCCCCCTTGCCCCCGGTCCACGGAGAAGGGGGAAAGGGGGGGACCATTCCTGGCTCGGGCGATGGATATTCCTCAGAAGAAGCCAAAATGATTTTTGCCATTCCCCCGAACCACGATTCCCGTTGAGATGTATGATTTCACGTCATCTATACGTATACCCAGTCTTTCTTACCGGAGGGAATCCACTCCCTATCGTGCTCACCATTGAACGGTGCCCTATCGAGTACGGCCCCAGTACTCTCATCCAACCGTAGAATTTCTCGTTGCAATGTCTATATCGGTTTGCATACGTACTGTGGAGCCCATCGTATGCGTGGCATGGGGGTTGATTGGGAGATAGGGAAAGAGAGTATGTGTAAGTGTCTGTAGAAGACTAGGAAATTGGGCGTAGGCACGAGGCATGGCGTGCATGCTGTATAATGTACGCTGTACGTTGTACGCCCGTAGAATGCATGCCGCGACGTTGTAGTGTTCCCCGGGGGGGTCAGCAACGCCAGCGAAGCACATATGCGTGTAAATGTATGTCTGTATGCGTGAACAATCGCCCCCTTCAGCAGATACTTTGTACTACTTCCCCCACCCTTTTCCAAAGATCCAATTCCATACACCCTCATCAAAAGCAACGCCATGCAACGACGATACGACGCATGTACCGCCCGGGGAACTTGGACAAGTGACATTGCCAAGCGATATGAACAGTCCAATGAACCAATTGTACAGACATTGTTACACAGAATGAAGAGCTGTGCCCAGAGAAGGGAACCCATTCGACCGCTTGCCGGCATCTCTCAGAAGAGACACTCTCCACCCCACTACATGCCGCCATGCGAGGCGAGGCGAGTCTCGGGACTTGAGAGTTGGCAAGATGATGTGCGTAAACGGCTGAATGACATATTTCAGACTCGAGAAACAACGTCAACTTTACATTTCATCACGCCTTTTTGTGGTTGGGCTCGATTCAATTGATGAACCAACAGTCTCTCGAGTAACCCGGATGGGGTGTGTGTGTGTGTGTGTGTGTGTGTTGGTATCCGTAACTACCAGGTGAACTGTGCCGTGAAGCCTCTCGAATCCTAGCATTGATCGATAGAGTCAACAAGTCAAAACTGTGGGTATCGTTTAGAAATACATGGTAAAAAAAAAAATCCCCGAAAACAATTGCCCTGTTAGATTGGCACGATTGGTTGGTTTCGCTGATCTTATTGTCTATTGCAGCAAGTACTTTATTGTAGATCAATTTTTAGTGTACGTCCAACACACACACACACACACACACCCTGGACGCCGTACCAACGAATTGGGAAACCCGAACTCGAAGCAGAACCCGGATAGTCATCTTGAGATCACTAAGAATCTGCTGATTACCTCGCAGCTATTTCTGCTTTCCCACGGGGAAAAGAAAATAAACTCCACCTTTCTCTCCATGTTTTTCTCTCTCTCTCGCGCGATCTCTGGGGGCGTCGGCGGCGGCTCAATCACGTACAGCCAAGAAAAAACCCCTAGTGTCTTCTCCCCCGTCTCCGTCATCCAAGTGGAGAGTACCAAGGTCCCAGTCCCCCCCTTAGTGGAGGGAAAGAAGCGGGACGCAAGGCCACAACTGAAGCTGGTCACATCACCAAAAACAAGCCCGGCGTATAAGCGCAAGGTACAAGAAAGACGCGACAAAACCAAGTAGCGGACGACACCAACGCCTCATCGCCCTGATCGACGATCTCTCCTAGATTTGGACTGAAATATGATCAACGCGGGCCTAGCATCCTCTCTTTTTCTCTATCTCTCCGTTTCTCTGCTTGTGTGTGGGTGTCTCGCATTCTTTAGCCTCGTACACCATTAAACGGGCGTACTCGTGGTGAAATAGCTTTAGCGTCTAGAACAGATCCTCAGAAGACAAAAAAAAAACCACGTTCGCGGCGAATCTCCGTTGTGAAACCCGTATCGGTCCTCTTCTCTCGCCGGAACAACAACGAAAGAAAAGAGAGCGAGAAAAAAAAGAGCACAAGGCCGGGCGCTGACTGGTCGGCAGCGACGAAAATAAAACGGGAGGGCCCGCCCCCCATCCGCCCTAGTTGCGTGCGTCCCCTTTTTCCTTCAAAATTCGGCCGCCGTACCACCGTGAGAAACTCCGGTCTCGTGGTGAAGAGCTCCGCAAACGGTGAGGGGCCATACAAACCCGGAGGCGGAGGCGTTCTTTTCACGAGCTTTTGAATAGATAGGTATCCGTATCTCTAGTGAGATGTGAAAGCCGGACGAAGCCCGTCGCAGGCAACACGCCCTTTTCATGAATCGGCCGGGACTATTCTGTACTGTACGGGATATCTAGATACCTCTGAGGACCACCACGCAACCCAGCCATGGCCAGCCCCATCCACGTTCCCGAAAACCTGACCACCACATCACGGACAAGCGCATCTATCGACACGCGTGGGAGATGTGAGCCGTCAAATTTCAACAACGCCGCCAGAGCCGCCTTCGGTTTGCGGAAAGCACAGATAAGCGTCGTTCATCCCAGCGGGTGGAAGGGGGAAGAAAAAAACAGATAGAAACCCGCCACAGAACCGCCGAAGGAGGAGCGAGCCGCTCAGGCGCACGCCTCGTTCGCCTCGTTCGCCTCATCCGTCCCGCCCATCCACATTCACATCACCATCACCATCTGGCAAATGATTTATCCCAACGAGCCTCCTCCCAATGGAGCTGGGATAAGTCTGTGTGCACGCGCGTATATGTGTGTGTATGTGTGTAGGTGTGGAAACACCATACAAACCCTTCCAAAGACGACCGACCGGGCCCCAACTGCCCAGAGCCCTCGCGTCAGACGTCCCGTCACTTGCCGGCTCGCTATTCCTGGCGGAAATGGCATGTTGGCTTTGCTCTGCTTTGCCATGCTCTGCCCACCTCTGAATCCTCGTCCATCTTCGCCCGATCATGAACCGGAAAAAAAAAAAAAACAGTGCCACATCGTCCAAGCTCTATCAAACCTATCCGTACCCCCCTTCCTCCTCCTGTCCACGCCGCAGTTGCCTGCTTTCCACCTTATCGGAAGTCCTCCGTCGAGGCGTCGACGCCAAATCTGGTTGCACCTGTAGCTCTTGACCCCTCTCGCATAACCCAAAACATCCCAACCTGATCACGTCTGCTCGGTCTGCTCTCCGTGCCCCGAGAGTAGGAGGAGGCGGGGGGGGGGCGGGGAGGGACGAAGTCGACATGACGTTTCCCTTTTCCCCTCCCTCCAAACCGAACACACGCAGAGAGACAGAGAGACAGCTTCAAAGGGGAAAAGAAACGCCGAGGGAAAACAAGTCTCTTTGGTTTACAAAACCCAACAAGGTCGTCTTCAACCCGGTCCTGCCCCCCTGCCTTGTCCCCGCGAGGACGTCCCTCCGCATGGCACGATAATCACACACCTTACCTACCGACCCCGGTACCCTCTTTCCCCGGTTTCCCCGGTTGTGTACCCGTAAGCACGCACTTACCCATCATCTGTTGCAAAGCGTGAAATGGCCCATGCCCTGGCACCGGCCGCCGTCCCACGCAGACCAGAATAGAGACAGTGACAGAAAGGGAATCGGATAC